CTTGTTCCGTTTTTTATTTTAGAATATTCCATTTTAAATACATTATATTTGACATGAAGTGGTACGTTTGACTGATATCTTATTGTTATCTGACTCGAACCTGGCTTTCTAAATGTTCTAAATGCTAAGCTCTGTTTTAATCTTCTTATCGTAATGTCCAAATAGTTAATTTCTTTTCTGGTTGTATCTTCTATTTCTGTTTTAAATTTTATCGCTTCTTATATGTTATTAACTTGTTTGTTGATTTCTTCTATTTTTATTTCAGTTTCATTGTATATTATTAAAATATCATCCACATATCTTTTATAAAATTTTACGCCTCTTATATTGCTAATTTTGGTCCTATTACTGATCCCATGCTTATTCCACTTGTCTGTGTCTAAAAATCATCATCAGCCTCAAAATATTTACTTCTGTATGCAAATTCTATTAAACTTATTATTTCATTTTTAACCTTAAGATTTTTTAATTTATCCTCTATTAGATCCCACGTTATTGACGGATGCATATCTATAATGTCGAGACTTGCTATCTTAAAGTTTTCTTCCATACTGATTTGATTTAGTTCGTCTAGAAGTTCATCTGTGTTTCTAATTGCAAATGGGGAGTTTTGGTATTGCTTAAGTTGTTGCTTTAGAAATTTTTCCAAGTTATATAGTGTTGAGTACTTAAAGTCTATTATTGGCTGAAATTATTCATTTGATATCAAATCTTTATGCGTTATAGAGATATCGAAGACAGATCAAAATACAATTCTGATATTTAAATCGTAAATAGGCCTATCTCCACTAGTATCTCCAATTCGTAGAATTTAATTGATAACAATCATGAGGTTATCCGCAGAAATTCAAGGTTGCCCAAGGTTACGATAAAGTTTGATAATTGTTTTACGTGACTCGAGTTTAAATTATTTAAATTAAAATACATTAATTATTTACTATATTTTTCAACAATTATACAATTTTTTCCCCATAATTTTAACAGCGCAGTTGTAATTTTCACTATGTAAATACACAACTGAATTATAATCGGCCTGTTTCACCAATATAATAAAATTTATTAGAATCGGTGAATTAAAACTAGAGATAACCCATTTCTATGTGTGTATTGTCTACTTGGACTTTATTTATCAATAGGACTTATTATACTGACGAAGTTTTTGATTGGGAAAGAGATGCAATCTTAGTCAAAAGTCAAAACAAAATATCTTTATTTTCACCTGTATGTTTACCTATATTTTATTTTTACTTTTGACTAAGATTTCCTCTCATTACTAATCAGAAACTTCACCAGTATAATAAGTCCTATTAATAAACAAAGTACAACTAGACAATATATACATAGAAATGTAAAAAGTAAGGACAAAGGTGAGGAGGCTACTGATCCGAAGATCGGTTGAATCGGTCACCGATTTACATCCGCGAGTAGTGTCGTCGTCGTCGTGCCGGAGTAATGAATACCGAACAGCGAAGGAGTCCAACGGTTGATGTCAAGTGTTCCTTTTACAGAAATATATACAAGGGTTGCAATTACATCGACTGTGGAAAGAAGGTTCGGAGCGCGCGGTGAGGTGAAAGTCCGAACAGGAGTATGTCGAACCGCCGCAAAGGTAGAAAGAATTAGAAATAATTCAGTTTGTGAGAAATATGCCATTAATTTTTAAGTTTTTTCCGCTGAATTATTATCTAAATTAGGTTTTAATATCTGTAGAGGTTGCGTTAACTTTTTTTATTTTTTCATACAAATTTTAAATATATAGCACAACATATTTAAATATAGAAAGAAAGAAAGGCCAAGCTTGATTATTTTGGCTATTACAATTTTCTTCGTGCCATCTTAATACTAAAATAAATATAATTTGTATAAATGTGGTGCGGGATGTTAGCCCAAGAGAAGGACTAACATCCCTTCCCGTATAAATATGAATGACTTGTGAGAAAATATTCTTAAAAATTAGTGTATTTTAATGCAAATAACTTCTTGCCTTAGGATAATGTGATGCAGTAGGACATCTCTCTCCGTATAAAAATAAATCCAGCAACGACTTGCTTAATGAAAATTTTAATCGTAATTGGCATTTACAATTTTTAAAAACTCATCTCTTCCCGCATTGTTTACTTTTTATAATAATTAATAATATAAAAGTTATTTTTAATCCTTCTTTTTTTAACACTATGTAGTGCAACTACTCGACCACTTGGCATTTTTCATCTTAATTTTTTATTCAGTTCAGTTGAATACAACCTTCTCTCTCTCGCCACCTCCGCTAACTTTAACCACCAAAATTTAATAGCATCGATACCCCTTATACACAAGCTATCTTGCCAGATTTCGTTTCTTATTCTTTAACTCATCCTGAGGTATTACACGAAATAAACACAAACACGGGCGTGCGGAATTTCCGCCTTTTCTTTTGGGTTTAGGGGTCTCAAAATCTCGAGATTTTCAAAAAACCCGAGGGTCGAATTTGACGCTATTATAATACATAAACTTTTTTAAATTCTCTGCAGATTAAATATTTTATAGGAACTTTTAAAACTGATAATTTCCTGGAATTATCAAAATCCAGATACTTATTTTCTAACGTACTTTTACTATAATCTTTTTAATATTTTAACAGATCGTAAAATCAGGAGTCAACTTTATAAATGATTACTGGAAAGCAGTCGTTAAGCGATCTTTAATTTCACAAAACTATGTTGGTAATAAACTTTAAACAATGTAATAAAATATCGAAATTGTAAACGGAAAATTCGGCATAAATATAACCAGTATTTTATAATATTTTAATATACAGTAAAACAAGTCATTAAATACTCCGCAATTAAATTATTTTTCCTGTATTTAAATTTTTATTTACGTTCTATCAAGTACTGAAGTAACCAGGGCCTACCGTGGTTACGTCAGTGTAAAAAACTGATCCGTGAATCCAAATTGCTACAGTTTAAAAAAAAACAGTATTGATATCTCCAAATCTGGTTTTACAGACACTTCCCCGACTTGTTCTTTATTATAATTTAATAAATTTATATTATATTAAAGTTATATTTGCATTACGATTTGAATTCGAAAAGAGTTAAAAACAGTAAAAAAAAATGTCCTTGATAAAATTCGATTTTATGGTATTAACGAACACCCGTTTGCCTCTATTATTCCGTTAAATCTTAGGATTTATTGTAGTAAAAACAGAAAACTTCCCCAACAAAAAATATAATATTTATCACTCCAATTAAAAAGTAGCAATATCTCTAAAAGCTAGAGATAATTCAAAGTTAATGTTTATAAAAAAAAAGACAAGCCGTCAATTAATAATTTTATCATTTCTGATATCAAACATGAATTTCGACAAAGATTTTCTCTCTCCGGGACACCATTGCAGTCTATTTATATTCTGCTGTAAAGTCGTCCTTGTGTTAGAAGAAATAGGCAAAGAATCCTTTGCAAGAAAGGAAAGTTACCAAATATATCTTATATTACGATTATAAACGTGTAAATTTTGTTACGATGTACTCTGCAGAATCACCCTATATCTTATACGTATTAAATGTGTCCACGATATCTCGTGTTACTATACAATACAGTACGATACTCCTATTTATCTCACATCATCTAAATATTACTACTTTATCATTGTAAAGCTCGACGTAAACAATGATAAAGTATTTAATTAAATGTATTTAAAGTTAATGATAAAGTATTTCAATTTAATGTTTTAAGACACACTTCACTTTAAATTTGCATTGTTTTTTTTTGCGAATTAATCGACACTACTAAAGAAACTTTTGGTAACTCTGCTTGTCTAAAGAAAGTTTACAAATCTGGCGTAGTGTCGATAGAACATTTTTATTAGACATTTTGTAATCAGTATAAACATTTGAATATTTACAGAATCATTTCAATTCATTGATAAAGGTATAAGATATATTTATATCTCTGACAATACATCAGAGAATGTCTTTTCTTATAAGATCGTATCTTTCGCAGAATGAGAGATCTTATATAAAAGGAATTTCCTTTTATATAAAATATATTATAAGTCTATATTTATTAGACTATTAGCCGATCATTATCAGTAAATAACTTTATTATGTAACAAAATTTTAGAGAATAAAATTTAATACTTTCTTTTTCTGTGACACTTTAAGTTTCATGTTTACAGAATGAAACTTAAACTCTGGTATTTAACGTAACTTCTTACGATATTTTAAGTTTAATTAAGGTTATAAATATATAATATAAAACAATGAAAACAATGGAAAAAATAGTTTTTTTTACACGCTTTCTAATTTTGAATGGAAATTTATCATAATAAATAATTAAATTTATTTCCTTATTCTTCTATTCTTTATTTATGTGCCGAGTATTCTTCCCGGCACATAAATTTAAAAAGAATGAATCATTTCTTTCAATTATACTTTTTAAATTTATTAAATTAAACGAATACGTTTAATTTAATAAATTAATTAAATAAAACGTTTTTCTTATCAGTAAATTTCCCATCAATTTAAAACTGTCATAAAATTTTAAAACATTAAATTGGAACGTTATTTCTATAAACAAAATTTAATACTGCATTCCATTTTCATATGCCAGATGTTGCTGGATGAACTGTAGTTTACTGAATCATTTTTTTAAAACAAAAAGTATATAATATAAAAAATTGTTTATATGTACTGTACAATAAATAATTAAAGTTAACTGTATTTAAAAACATGGATTAAATGGCGTGGCTTTCTGGGCCAAGTGATGTTTATAAAAGAAATGTAAACAGAGAGAAAATTTAAGAGGAAAGCTATAATTATACCTAATTTATATATTTTATAATAAAATATTTTTTATTAAATTGCTTTCGAAATAATGTAATTATTTGATGTTAAATTGCCCGATACGCCTACTTATCTGAAGCTCTAGTTGATAAAAGTGCCTTGAAATATATTCGTTGTTTTTTTCAATTTTATATACAAAAAATGATAGGAAAATATAACAGAAACATCACTAACCTTTCTCTTCCTAATTTTTTCGGCTAGAGATTGAGCGGTTTCTAATAAAATCGGATCGGTGACGGGTTTTATCTTCTCCGGCATTCGATAATTTATAATTCCAAATATAATATTCGATATAAAATCGAGAGATAATCTAATGAGCCTTAATAGGACGTAAATAACGGTACGCTTCCATCTGGATTTCATTTTCTCTCCCGTCTCTTCGTCCAGACTTGCACACTCGTGTAACGATTGCGACGAGTGTAGTGTCACGCCGAACGGTACAGACTGACTGTTGTCATGGCAACTGCTGATAACATTACAGAATTACTTCATATACACGATAAATTTAAATCGTTATTGAATACTTGCCTGTATATCCATTATACTAATATCATGCTTTGTTTAAATTGTATTTTTTTTTTAAATTAAAATGAAATTATATCGATTTCATTTATTGCCTTCGAAAGTAAAATCCAAAACGAATGATTGTACCGCCTCCTGTGTACAGTATTAATAAAGAATTTATAGCCTATTACTGTTTTTTTCTATAAACATATTAAATTATTAAATACTATCAGATGAGCCTAGCATTTACAGCCGAATATCAAATGGTAATCTGCCAACCAATCAAATTTCGCGAAAAACGGACCAAATATTTAAACTCGGAACCATCGAAAACCACTTAAAACATATTTTCTGCTCGCCGGTAACCTCGTATTATGTAATTTTTCTATTCGAATGCTACTATACCGGGCCCATCAGTGTCCAAGCGGTTCCGTTCCCTGAATACTGGGAGTTCGGTCGTGGGTTCGCGCTTGGCCGAGACATGAAGTTTTCCGGGTTTTCTCCACGTCTGTAGTGCCTGAATAGGGGCCAGTTAACTTAAAAGACCTCCCGGAAGGCATTCCCTCGGCAGATCGCCCAAGTGTTGCGTTGTCATAACTTAACCCGAGATATCTCGGGCAAGTTACATAGCGTTACATAAAACCGCGGTCCTTAGGGGAGTTTTGAAAATTTTTTTTTGAATTTTTGGAATGTTTTTTAAGTCCCCAAATTTTTTCAAACTTTTTTGCCCGCGCAGGCCTGGGAGTGCCATTTCCCCTCTGAAAAAGTGAGAAAAGTCAGTTGAAATACAGAATAAGTGAGTAAAAAGTGAGTGCAATACAAGTAGCCCTCGGTTTATGCTGGCTCAATTTATGCTGATTCACAATAACGCCGCTGCACAATTCACCATTTCGCGGTGTAATTCCCCAATTTTCCCTATGCTAGACTGATTTTCATTTCAGTGTCGACGTATTTACCGAGCNTTTTTTAAACACTTATTTAAATAATTATGATTGATAAAATTTTAAATTATTGAATTCAACAATATATATATATACAATTACAGTAAAATATGGTGTATTATTTAAGAGATATACCTCTAGAATTAAATGTAAATGGAGTACATAATAAACTAACACAACCCCAGCATATGACGTCATTCAACTTGTATTACGGCCTTGTCAGATCCCGTAAATATTTAGCTATTTCTGAAGTAATTGAATCAATGCCTGGAGCTTTATTATTTCCTAAGTTGTTAAATGTCTCATGTATTTCTTCATATTCGAAAGGTGGCATATCCTTGGTGTCAGTGGGTTTATAGGTATCATTATGCAGTTGCTGTTACCATTCATTATCTTTGTCTTGGTTATCATCTGCGCAAAAAAAATTGAGTTGTGAAACCATTGTCTGAATGAGATCAAGGGGTACATTAGCATTTATGTTGTTAGATGATAAAATTGCCATTTTACAGAGTTTATTTATACACATTTTAGACAAAAATCCCCAAAGATTCTTTGCATGTTTATTACAAAAATCTTTCCAACTATTCAATTTAGCACTTTTAATCTCTTGTTTGTACAAGTGTTGACAGCGAAAATAGGCCATTTTATGTTGATTCCTTTCAGAATCATCTCTGCATCTTTGGAAGATCCATCACAGCTGTCTGGTGGTCTTGCGCAAGTTAGTAAGAGTGGAACTCCACCAAGGTACACTTCTAGTATGGAATGCTTTCCTAGGTATATACATACTACATGCTCTATTTATAATATCAATATTTTTATTCTGGTATTTTTGAAACTGTGTCAGTAATTTGTTTCAATTCAAACACAAATTATTTATCGTATTCATACAGACACTTGGCAAATCACAAAATTAAGTTTTATTCAGTTGATACATGTTTTTTTCTTACACGTTTTGGGCATTTCTTCCCCTCCTCAGTAGACTAAAATAAAAGTTCACAAGTTACAACAGTATAAACAAACGAACATATAAGGTTACGTTATATTAAAAACATACCTTTTTTGATGAGTTTAAACAATTTTAAAATCTCTACCATATTCTTAAAATCACGTTTAAATTGATTTAACGATTAAAATTTACATACGAGTCTTTCGAACAAACGTATTTTGCTGAACTTTCCTCCCCCTTTTTTTCCTCCCTAGTTAAGCTTGCCCACTGTCTACTATACAGTCACATGACGAGTAAGCCACCTTGTAGCAACATTTAAAAAAAAATTTTTTTTTAATTTCTTTTCCACATAAAAATTTTTTACATAAAAGATCTTCTTCAAAAATTTCCTAATATTATAAGATATTGAGAGCCAGTTTTCGTTTATTTTAATACTTAGGTTTTTATTTAGACATTTATTACTTTTGATAATTTCTACGCTTTCTTTGAACTTTCTATTATATGTTTCTTCTTCTTTGTGGAGTATTTCTACTTTATCTATTTTACAATCATTCTGGGTGCAATGATCACGAAAAGCAGAATTTAATCTATTGTATTTTAGATCTGCTATATGTTCTTTTAATCTGGTTTTTAACTTTCTTTTAGTTTCTCCTATATAATAATTATTTCTACAAGTTCAATGAATCTTATATACTACGTTCTTAGTTTCAGCTGGTAGTTGTTGTTTTTTATCAGTGTTGAGCTGTTTAAGCCTTGTATACATTTTTTGGTATGACGGTGCTAACTTCAAGTTTATATTACTTATTTCATTATCAATTTGTTCGTGTAGTCCTTTGATGTATAGAAACCCGATATACTTTATATCGTTTGTTTTTTATTGTCTTGTGGCTTTTTAAGATTATTTATTTTAATTTCCCATTTATTTAACAGTCTTTGTGGGTAACCTGCCAAGAGAAATTTCTTTTTTAATTCAGCTAAATCTTCATATATGTGTATTTCTTGACTTGTTCTGTTTTTTATTTTAGAATATTCCATTTTAAATACATTATATTTGACACGAAGTGGTACGTTTGACTGATATCTTATTGTTATCTGACTCAAACCTGGCTTTCTAAATGTTCTAAATTCTAAGCTCTGTTTTAATCTTCTTATCGTAATGTCCAAATTGTTCATTTCTTTTCTGGTTGCATCTTCTATTTCTGTTTTGAATTTTATCGCTTCTTGTATATTATTAACTCGTTTGTTGATTTCTTCTATCTTTATTTCAGTTTCATTGTATATAATTAAAATATAATCCACATATCTTTTATAAAATTTTATGCCCGTTAGATATAGATAACAAAATTAGCAATGTATTATTAATTCTGCTAATTTTGGTCCTATTACTGATCCCATGCTTATTCCACTTGTCTGTGTATAAAAATCATCATCAGCTTCAAAATAATTACTTCTGTATGCAAATTCTATTGAACTTATTATTTCATTTTTAACTTTAAAATTTTTTAATTTATCTTCTATTAGATCCCACGTTATTGATGGATACATATCTATGATGTCAAGACTCGCTATCTTAAAGTTTTCTTCCATACTGATTTGATTTAGTTCGTCTAGAAGTTCATCTGTGTTTCTAATTGCAAATTGGGAGTTTTGGTATTGCATAAGTTGTTGGTTTAGAAATTTTTCCAAGTTATATAGTGTTGAGTACTTAAAGTCTATTATTGGCCAAACTTTCTCTCCTATCTTATGAGTTTTTAGTCGTATATTTAATTTTGGCGTGCGATCATTTCCTTCATTTAATATAAACTATTTTTCATTTCTATTAATTTCTCCTAGTTGTTCTAATTTTGTAATTCTTTTTTTAAGTTCTAAATATATAACTTCAATAGGGTTTATAGAAAGTTTTTTGAATATTGTATTCTTTATTATCTCTTGTTTCTTATTTCTAACCCATTCTTGGGTAACTATTACGATTTGTTTCGATTTGTCAGCTTTTATGATTTCTATTTCGTTTTCCTTTAAAAAATTATGTAATTTTTTAATTTGATTTTTATATTGAAAGTAATTACTATCTTTAATTATTGATTTCCTTTGTTCTTTGGTTATGTATTTTTTAATTTTATTACTTAATTTCATTTTTATCATACTTGATTCAATATCTGAAAGATTATTACATATTTTGTCTAAATTCGGTAGTATGTCTAAAACATTCCATTTGTTTGGATCGTTTTAGAATGTGTAAGAAAAAAACACGTATCAACTGAATAAAATTTAATTCTGTGATTTGCCAAGTGTCTGTATGAATACGATAAATAATTTGTGTTTGAATTAAAATCAACTAAATAAAATTTAATTCTGTGATTTGCCAAGTGTCTGTATGAATACGATAAATAATTTGTGTTTAAATTAAAATCATTATTCTTTTTTTTTTTTTTACATATTTTATATTTGAGTGAAAAGGAAATATTTTCAAATACTTGAAGATGTGTGAATGATGAAAGAATACTAAATAAAGCTGAAGTTGTGACTCAAAGAATTATAGACCCAAATTTGAGAAAAGGAAAGAAAGGCCAAAAGATAAAAAGTAGTGAGAAAGGTTAAATAGACCTTCTGTTATGCAAATATTGACCTTAATTTTCCAACCTTCCTCACTACTTTTTATCTTTTGTTCTTTCTCTCCTTTTCTCAAATTTGGGTCTATAATCCATTGGGTTCCAACTCCAGCATTATTTAGTATTCTTTCCAGTGTTGCAAAATTTGGCTACCCTTTTTTTAGTTTGGCATAAAAATTATCATTTTGCACATTGGCTACTTTCTGGGCTACATATTATCTATAAATATATTAGTCAAATAAAAATGCAGTTTAAAATGGTGTTTTGTCATTTTTTATTAATTAAAGACCCAAATAAAACAAATATTTGTGTTTTTCAAGTAAATTTTTGTTTTTCTCCTTTATAATAGATGAATTTATTTATTTCAAAGTAAAAATTGGAAGTCTGTAGAAGTAATTTTTTTAAATATCCTTTTTCATGATAAAGTTTTAATACTTATTACTATAATCTAGACATGTTAATCCTTAATTATAAAAGTATAT